TGACCAAAATATTTAATTTATTTGTCTATTTATCTCTTCCAAAATCGCTCATTTCCGATTGGACTCACTCCTATGACTTGTCGCACCAGGCAATCTAGTTTAGCGATAGATTTACAGGTGAATCGCCAGCATCCTCTGGACTTCTAAAAAGACGGTAGGTGCTGCAAGAAGTGGAATCCCAGCATCGGCGTTCCGATATATGATCAACAACTTATTGAACCAATCTACTCCTTCAACTCCTTCGATTAATATTAAGAATATTTGAAAATTTTTATTCAAAAAAAATTTGTTTGATATCGTAATTCGAGAAGGCGGAGAAAATATCATATGCGTCGCGTTTTATATTTTACGTTTGACGATTTATTATGGTAGTAGTTCGATAAAGGATTTTTGAAAATTTATTTACTCGATTCCTTTGGTGAAATTTTTGGTGAATTTGTGGTGAAATTTTTGGTGAAATTTTTGGTGAATTTGTGGTGAAATTTTCGGTGAATTTGTGGCGAAATTTTTGTTGTGCCGATTTTTTTTCTTTTTCCTTTTACACAATTTATAAAAATATTTATCAATTGTGAAGGTGCGGAATTAGTCAGCTCGTGTGGTCCTAGCGGCGGCTCAGCTCTATACTTCCAGCGAAGTGGTCTCCTTGGCAAAGTACATCTCGTTCGATGCGCCCAGCGGAGCTCGATATGCCAGATGAGCGAATCGGAAATGGTGAGCGCTATTCGCTAAAAAGTTAATTACTCAGCTAATTGTTTATTGTTACTTCTAACAACTCGCAAATTTCTAATTCTTCGTTTCTTTTTGTTTTGAAATATATAAAATAAAAATGGATTTTTAAGATGACGCATTCGACATTATAAGCTATTATTAAATATTTTCACTATTTATTGCCACTTTTATGGTTGTTTTCGCGCAATATATGCCGACTGGTGCGATGAATAGTTTCGAGCAGAACACGCGACTTGTTGTGAAGTTTTGTTTCGTTTATTGAGCAATCGATACTCTGTCATATCACTACTTTCATGAACTTTAACTGAGGCATAGTCATGCGGCTGTATTAATTAATTTTACGACTGAGATGTTGGCTTTGCGTAAGGATTGACTGACTGCATAGACGAGCATAGTGTATGCATCGATGAAGCAGTGAAATTGTATCGTGTTTATTTAATAATTTGATATACGAATTATTTAATTCGCTGCACTACTGTTGAGCTTCGTCAAATGGCTGATCCGAAGAGTATTCGTTCTTCTATTTGAAGGAGAATTTTGAGTGGCAAAATCCATTGGTGCAAAGATCGTAATATTGAAAGGATATGTTTGAGTACATTGCAGTTTGTGCTAGCAAACCGGCTGTTTAACAAATCATTCTAATTACCCCTTCCTAATTGCCCCTTTTTTTTAATTCGTTTTTTTCGTTGGATGTTTTGGGTAAAACTGGATTTACTCTAATATAATAATTTCAGATCTAATATTTGCGCATTTTATAAATAATTTTTATAAATCTTAAAACTCTTAAAAAGTTGTATTTAAACGAATAAATCCGCTTTTTAAAACCATTTATTTAAAAAAACAATATTTTAAGCTTTTAGAAAGCATAAAAAATAAGGTGAAAAATTATATAAATTATAAAGGATTAAAATTAAAATAAAAATATACCCAAAGGAATGAAAGGAAAATACAAAATTAATGAAAAAATTAATGAAAGATAAAAAATTAATAAAAAATTAATGAAAGATTTGAGCGGCCCGGGTGGACGGCTTTCTAGTAATATTTTCATATTTCTTGGCTCAACCCATTATTAGCCATTATTAGCCATTTGCCGTTTTTTCCCATTATTCCCATTATTAGCCATTTGGAGTCCGATCCTCTTTTCCACCAACAGGCATTGATAAGAAAAATGGAATGAAAAATTTTTTTGCATTATTTGTTTAAAAGCTGCAAAAGATATCTACTGAGGCAATATTTTAATGAAATTTTTTTTTAGCATTGTAAAGAACTTGGAAAATTTTTTCATGTTTTATAAATCGAAAATACGTTAAAAGCAAAATATCATTGTACTGGAAAATACATTCATCAGTCTATGATAAGAATTGTGTTTTAAATTCTTAAGAACTCATTGGAAATTTTAACTGCTACGACCATCTCAGTTCAATTCTTTAAAAGTCTCTGGCAGGCACCTTAATAATAATGTCTTATTTGTGGCCAATTGAATAAAATCGTACGTAAGATATTTGACATTCATTTTATCTTTAAGATTTATCTTCAGATTTGTGATAAAGTTCGGGTTTTGATCTATTTTGAATTTGATTTTTTGGCTATTTAAAAAAATCAAAAGAATACATCTATTTGCAACTGGCGAAAGTGGTTGTTTTATTTGTCAGAAGGTCCTAATTTCAATATAAAATATTTGAAGATAGACATTGAAAAGAGGGTCTAATTAAATGAATTTTAAAATAACGAAAATCTTTTGAAATGTTGACAAATGTTTATAGATTGTAGGTAAAGAAAAATCATGCATAATTGGACAGATCCTTCATGCAGGAAGGTCGATTGTAAGATAAGAAAATTTGAAGGCTTAAATCGAAGGAAAAGGCTAAAGTCATTTTTCAGTAGAAAGCCAATAAAGTCATTATTCTTAGCTTATTAATATAATAATAATAATAATAATAATAATAATAATAATAATAATAATAATAAATAAATAAATAAATAAATAATAATAATTCATTGAATCGTTGAGCCTATGTTTGATAGAATATTTCATAATATAAAATGAAATATTTCATTCGAGATTCAATTTAGATTCTAAGTTCGTTCTTTTAAAAAATGACAAAAACAATAAAAATAAAAGAAAAAATAAAATAAATAAATATAAATTGCAGCAAATTATAAACAAAAATTAATTTTTGTAAATATTTTAATCATGGATTTTATTATGTTTTATGTTTTTCTTTTCAATTCACAACTTTATAATTTTTCATTCATCACTTTTGGACTTTTATTTTATTGTTGGATGATTAACCACGATGAGCCATCTATTGCCCCGACATAACTGACTCGCTCTGTATTTGAGTCGAATGTTTTCTTCTTTTTCTTCTACTGGTTAGGGTGGCTTCACTGGCTACAAGAGTGAGAGTCTCCAAGCCACCCGGTCCGACGCCATTGCTGATAGTGATAGAAGCCATTCCTTTTTCCATCGCCATATATTACTGGTCCCCTATACGTTCAAAATCTTTCCTGACCGTATCAGTCCAGATCTTGGTTGGCCCACCTCGCTTTTGACGCCATCCATCATATAGTTTAGCAAGTAACGAAATATGCGTCAACTCCTGTGGTGGACGACGGATTGGCCCTAACCAGCGAAGGCAACGCTGTGTAATAACATTATTATGCAATGGTATCTGAACGAAGATGGAAGCGATCATGTATATCTTATCCGCTCGATGGATCCGTAAAATACCAAATGGCCAGGCAAAAGATGGTATTACAATCCGGATCACGGCAGCTACAAATGCTTTCTTCCGGTCGACGAAACTTTTATAGAGACGTCGTGAAATTACCATAAAAACGAAAGTCCGCTTCTATATAGCAGTAATTCGTGAGCTGTGTTCGATCTTATATGAGAGATGGCCAATGAAAGTGGAGGATATTAAGAAGTGGAGGAAGTTATCTGCCTTTGACCACTATCTAAGGTACATTTTACGTCGAATATTTTGCACATCGATGTTGTAATTCTCGGCAAATCGTAATCGATTTCAATTATTTCATTCGGAAAACTCACTCATTCTGTTAAGAAAATTGTGTTTTGTACAGTTGGAATTATAATGGTTGATTGTATCTTAAAAGGGATAAATTAAAGAAAATAAATTCTTTAATGATAAATCTAAAAGAAAATTACAATAATATATTTTTATAAATATAAATAATAAATTAAGAGAGACAAAAACCATTAAAAAAATCACTGCCATGGAAAATTGGATGGAAGAAGAAGGGCGGGCGATAAAAAGCCTTATTAAACAAAAATTTATGCATTTATAGGATTTTGAAGTAGATTTTAAGCTAATCATCAGCTTATCAGCAAAATAGAATTATATAATTTTAGAAATGAAAGTCAATAATTTTCTAGTTGGACGTATTTATTTGCCACTTTTATCATTAGTTATCAGTTCTATTTTCTTATTTTAGCTTATAACTATCAATTTAATCAAACGTTATATCTTTAAAAATTTTCAATTTTCAATTTTATTTTTCTATAATCAGTTCGATAATAACAATGAAATAATTTTGAAAACAAAAATTTATTTAAAATTCTCATATTTTAAAGAATTTCCAAACAATTCAATTAAGTTAATTTTTGATTTAATTAAATTAATTTTAATTAATTAAAATTAATTTGTATACATCAAAGAACTATATTTGCATTAATGACGATTGCGATAACATATTTAAATTATTACTATTTAGGCTTTAAAAGCGAACAGGATTTTTTTCTAGGTGCGTTCACCATTACTCATTCCGTTGAGACTTGTTTGGTTCGATAATTTTTCCTGTGGAGTCATTTAACGACATAAGCACGAATGAGTTGAGAGCTTCGGATTTTTGAAAGGAACAACGCAGTTGAGCTATTTTACTTCTCCCTATTCGCCGATTTCTATGAAATGAAATCAATAGGATTTTCAAGAAAAATTTTATCCTCCATTTGGAAATGCAATATTTCTAGCGTACAATCCGAGAGGGCGGAGATATTCTGGGAGCGTCGCGTGTCGCTTACGCGGTTCGCAATTTATCTTGGTTTATCGGATTGGTGCAAAATTTTTAAAAAAATTTTTCAATTCCTTCCTTGTTTGGTGAGATTTTCTCTCGGTTTTTACTTCATTTTCTTTTTTTCATTTGTTTTTCTATTTCATTTATTTCCATTATTTCATTATTACTGTTGGAATTTTTCTCTTCTCTTATGGCTATAAAAATAAAAATTTTATTTGAAATTTAGAATTAACGAAATGCGTACGAAATTGGATAATCGAATTCGTATATTAATTGAAAACGGTGTTATTAGTGGGCATCGCTCAATGTTCGTCATTATCGGAGAAAAAGGCAAAGATCAGGTGAATTTAAAATTTTTGATATAAAAATATAAAATCTGTAAAATTCGCTTGTTTAGATTTAAGAGTCGCCTCCTTCGAGTGATTTGTTTTTCTCTTCGACTCTTAAAACGATTTCCTTGGCATATTTGCCTAGTGCGATAAGCCAGCGGAGCGAGTCCAATAACCAATAATGGTGAGAACTTGTAAAAAAAAATGGATTAAGCAGAACGGATTAGGCACATATTTTATTGATAAATTAAAATATTAAATTAATACAGTATCAGTGGAAATAATATTGTTATGATTATAATGGATTGGGTTGTCGAATTAGGGTGTTTAAGAGAAAATAAATTGTTTTTTTTTTTTTATTAATTATTACTTCGTCGGTTGCTTTATTAAATACATCAATATTTTCAATAAATTTTTATGCATAATTTCGCCATCGATGAATCGTAAGTAAATTTCAAGACGACATTAATTCCATATAAAAATTCAAAATTAATATCTGAAAAAAAGCCGAAAATTAAAGAAAAAATGTAAATGGCCGTTAATTTTGCTTATTCTATATTTTTAAATTATTAAGAAAATAAATTCCTTTGTGTTTATAAAACTTTTAGATTTAAGTTTTTTGATAGATTTCTTTTTTAATGTTTTTAATTTCTTTTAGATTAAACAAAATTTTAGGTGCTTTTTATTATTATTTTGTTATTATTAAGTAACATTCAGGTGGTATTATTGCATCATATTTTATCGAAATCAACGATAACAAGTCGGCCAACTGTTTTATGGTGTTATAAAAAGGAGCTTGGATTTTCATCACATCGTAAAAAACGAATGAAGGAGTTGAAAAAAAAAATGAAAAATGGTCCGATGGATAAATCTGTAAAATCAACATTAATTTTTTAAAAATTTTTAATTTTTTATTCTTTCTTGTTACGCATCTTTATTATACATTTATATGTTTTCAGTTATTATATTTCCATAAAACTTTTAATTAAAAAAGGTATTTTTCTGTTTTTATTTTTCTGAAAAGTATAAAATGAAGATTTTTAGGATGACCCATTTGATATTTTTGTGTCCTCAACCATTATCAAATATTGCTATTATTCAGAAACACATAAAATATTGGGCAATACTTTTGGAATGTTGATTTTACAGGTTACGCAAGAATTTCGATCTAAATTTTCATATTTTGTAAAGAAAACGAAAACTTTGGTTGGCTTAAAGAAAACTTTTCTCTTGCTTTATTGCTTGCTTTATTTTCTCTTCTTGTCATTATTAGTTATATTCTTATATTCTTATTCTTATGTTTTTATATACTAATTCTCCTATAGATTTATGTGTTATATATGTTTATATCATTTCAGGATTTTGAAGCCATTACTCCTAACCTTTTAGCCCAAACTGTGGAAACTGTTGAGGGTGGTGGTATTATAGTTTTATTGATGAAGAGTGTGAATTCTCTCAGACAATTATATACAATGACTATGGTTTCTTTTTTCTCATTTTGTGTTAGACCAAATTATTACGAATTTTTTTGTTTGTAAGGATCGATTATCTTATCTATAAAATCGTTGGCTTAAGGATAGCTTCAAATAATATTTGAAATTGCTTTTAGGATGTTCATAGCCGTTTTCGCACTAAAGCACATACAAATATCGTTCCTCGTTTTAATGAACGTTTTATTTTATCGTTTGCAAGTTGTAAATATTGTGCTGTTGTTGACGATCAACTTAATGTTCTTCCTCTTTCTTCACACATTCTAAAATTGGAGCCCATAAGTATCAGTAAAAAAGTAAGATCTTTAATTTCCAATAACTTTTTTAGCATTCAATTTGGTCATTTTATTATATTTTTTCACCTTGAATAAACGTTTGCACAGTATAATATGGATGCGTTTTTCAGAATCAGTTAAATCCAAATGAAGAAGAACTTATTGCATTAAAAAGTTCCCTTGCTGATACAAAGCCGATCGGACCTCTATTAAATAAATGTAAAACCAATTGTCAAGCGAAAGTTCGTGTGATTATTTGTTTTTTCTGCATTTTCACATTTTGCATAAAAGAATTACTTTTTTGATCTTTTGATTTAAGAACATTTGTATATAAAACATTTTACAGGCCTTATTGCGTCTTCTAGATGTAATAACAGAAAAAAATTTGCAAGTTACTTGTTCGGTAACTGCCGCCCGTGGTCGTGGCAAGTCGGCAGCATTAGGATTAGCAATAGCTGGTGCTATTGGTTTCGGCTATACCAATATCTTCGTCACAAGTCCTTCACCAGATAATCTCAAAACGCTGTTTGAATTCATTGTCAAAGGATTTGAAGCGATGGGATTAGAAGAACATTTGGATTTCGAACTAATTCAGTCAGTCAATTCAGAATTCAATAAAGCCCTCGTCCGAATAAATGTTTTTAAAAAACACCGTCAAGTAGTTCAGGTTGTTTTTAAATTTAATTGGCTGTCGCCTTTGATTGTTTTAAATATTATTTTCTTGTGGATTTTGATTTTATAATTTTTTTATTATAGTACATAGACCCTCGGGATTGGGCTAAAACAACCCAAGCAGAGTTAATTGTAATTGATGAAGCAGCTGCGATCCCTTTGCCAATCGTGAAAAATCTTATTTCAGGTTATGTGTAAAATTTTTTTTTTGGAATTCTCTTTTCATCTTTTTATTTTTATTCTTATTTTTGCAGGACCTTTTCTTGTTTTCCTAGCTTCAACGATAAATGGTTATGAAGGTACTGGGCGTTCTCTTTCTCTGAAATTGCTACAGCAATTGCGTGAACAAAGTTCGGGTTCAAAAAAAGATGAAAAGGGTCAGCATTTAAGTGGTTTCAAAGGTAATTTACTTTTCATTTGTAAAGAAACATTTAATATTAGATCTTATTTCTATGGAATTTTTTTTTTCAATTTCTCTTAAATTGTGATTTATAAATATTATATATGGAATCATATTTTAGGCCGGACATTGCATGAGATCGTACTTGAGGAAAGCATTCGTTATAAACCGGGCGATCAGGTTTCTATTTTTTTTATTCTTTTGTTCTTTTACAATTCAGTTTTTTTATTCTGAAAATCAGTCGCCTTTTTTCTTCCTAACAACTTAAAAATTAAAGTAAAAGAAAAAAGGAAAGAATTTTTTTGTTTAATCTTGATCTGAATGCTCAATTATAGAAATTCAATTAACTGCTAAAGATTTCTATCAAGTTGCATCAAAATCCCATAATTTTGAGGTCGAGGCTTGGCTTAATCGAGTTTTGTGTTTGGATGCTACACTCAAAGTTGTCTCTGGCTTGCCTTCTCCAGAAGATTGTGAATTGTGAGTTTTATTACTTTTTTATATCAAATTCGAGCGATTTACTCCTCATGATTTTTTCCCATGTTATTTCATGGTTGACATATGGTTAATGTTTTTATTTTTTTACTTTTTACTTTACTTTGCTTTTTATTTTTACAGTTTTATAAAATCTTGTTAATTCAATTGCATCTGGGTCATCTGGGTTTTTTCAAATCGAGCTAGAACATCGTTTAAATTTGCACAATTTCTTCAGGTTATATGTGAATCGTGACACATTGTTCTCTTTTCACAAGGCCTCTGAAACATTCTTGCACAATCTTATGTCAATCTATGTTTCAGCTCATTATAAGAATTCACCAAATGATCTTCAAGTGTGCCTTTTTAAAATAATTGCTTTAATTGCTTTAAATTTTTCTATAAAATATACTTTAATGAGATATAATAACACATCTTTCTGAAATGTGGTCTTTCCAGATGCTCTCTGATGCTCCTGCCCATCATCTTTTTGTATTAATCGGGCCAGTTAATGAGAAGCAAATCCATTTACCAGATGTTAATCTTTAATTTATTCATTATTTTGCATAATTTGTAGAATGTTTTCGAACTAATCAAATTTTTAATAATTAATCAAATTAAATTTTTAACTGTTATTATATTATTTATTTGCTTAAAATCATTTTCTAAGACATGATTTCCACTTTTTTTTCTAATAATCTGCATTTTAATTTGCAGGTATTAGCGGTAATCCAGTTATGTTTGGAAGGTGGTCTTTCTAGAGAAATAGTATCAAGTAGCATAGAAAAAGGGAAACGGGGTGCCGGTGATCTACTGCCTTGGACAGTTTCTAACCAGTTCCTCGTTTGTTTTTCTTTTTAAATTTTTCATAATTCTTTTTATGTCTTTTCTTACCTTCATATGTACTTTTATATTTAATTTTTAAAATAACTTATCATTGCTTCTGTATCATAAATTATCCTTTATCTCATTTATTGATCTCCTTTATTTCCTATCTTAAATTTTTTTAAGTTGCTCTTTTTGTATTTTATATTATAGGTATTTTTTCAGGACTCTGGATTTCCTATGCTCGTTGGTGCCCGCATTGTTCGTATCGCTGTTCATCCAGATTTTCAGTGTAGGATTTTATCTATTCATTTTTTTATTCTTTTTTTAATTTCTTTTATTTCTTTTTTTCTTTGTTTACAGTTTAAATATGTTGTAGCAATGGGTTATGGAACACGTGCGTTGCAGCTTCTTCACCAGTATTATGAGGGGTCAATACTAGATTTAGATGAGAGTGAAGAACCAGCGGCAAAAAAATCTAAATGCTCAGTTAAAAATGTTGATGTAAGGATTTATATTTCTGCTTTTTCTTTAATGTAGCGTTCAATTATATTAAAAATTAAGGATTTTTCGATTCCCGATGAACATAAAACTTTTCAAGCCTGCTATTTTCATCTGAAGTGACGATTCTACTATTTTATGAAATCTATTTACCATTGCTTTTCCCATATAAATATATCGATGGAAATGAAACAAAAAATTTGTACTAATAGAACATTTTGGTACTTATAATAGGAACAGAAAAATTTATTCTAATTGAAAAAGAAATTAAGAATCCTGAAGCTTTGGTCCTTCTGGAAGAAATTGTTGAACCTCGTACTGATCTTCCACCATTGCTGATTCGCTTAAACGAAAGGCGGGCCGAACAAATAGATTATATTGGTTTGGTTATATTAATTTCTTTTCCTTTTCGATTTTCTTTTCTTACGAAAAAATTTAATAAAATTTATTGATGAAAAAGATTGTCAAACGCATACGTATATATTGCAATTAAATTTTAAAAGGATTTTTTTCTTAAAGGCGTTTCATTTGGATTGACATTGGATCTTCTGAAATTCTGGAAACGCTCATCATTTGTTCCCATCTATATACGACAAAGTGTTAACAGTATAACTGGTGAATATACATGTATAATGCTGAAGAAACTATGTGAAGGTGTTACTTTTTATTTTTTTTATAAATTTTGTTGTAAATTTATAAATTTAATGCGGCTTTTATTTATTTGGATGACTTATTTTAGATATCGAAGCCAATGAAGACTCGAAGTGGCTTGCTGCTTATTGGTCTGAATTTCGACAACGCATTCTAAATCTTATGAGTTATGAATTCTCCAGATTCCCAGTGCAGTTAGCTATTAGTATACTGCAGTTAAAAAATGCTTCCGTTGCAAAAAATTTGTCGAGAAATGGTAAAAATTTATTTCTGGCATACTGTTGAAATTTTATCTTAAATTAAGTTTTTTTATTTCAGTATTAACAATTTTTATTTCAGTATTAACTCGTGAACAATTGTCATTATTTCTCAAGAATAGTGATTTACATCGTCTATCACAATACGCCCGAAACATGATTGATTATCACCTAATAATGGATCTTTTGCCTACTTTGGCCTTCCTTTATTTTGATGAACGCTTGGATGCTGAGGTTCACGATTTTTCAAAGTGGCAGTTATAACTCTATAATTTTTTAAATGCAATTTCAGGTGCATTTTATCAATTATTTCTATTTTCCACTTTTAGGTAAAGTTGAGTGGAATCCAATCTGTTATTCTTCTTGGTATTGGCATTCAGCGCAAATCAGTCGATGTTCTCGTTTCTGAATTAGGTTTGCAAGAAAATCAGTTGCTGGCATTGTTTAACAAAGCCATAAAAAAACTGTCTGAGCATCTTGATAGTATATGTATTAGTGCTATAGAAAATTCTATCGAAAAGAAAGAAACCTCAGTCACAGATATGCAGCCTATGCCAATATCTCTTGAGGTGCGATATTTATTCATTCATGGTTCTTTCGTAAATTTCCCTATGTTACAACGGAAAATATTTGAAATGATTCACTTTTTCGAAATTAAACTTTTAATCAGTCTTTTTTTATCGCTCTATTTTATTAATTTTGTTGAAATGGAATTATCAGTAAAATAATTTCTGGAAATTTTGAATCGAGTTATTTTAAAAAGAAATTCTAGGAAGATCTAAGGGAAGCAGCTCTAGAAATTAAATCACGCCAAGAGAAAGATCGAGAAAAACTGAAAGCTGAGCTGAATGATTTAAAACAGTTTGCTATAAAAGGCAGTGAAGATGATTGGACCGTGGCATTACAAGATATAAATTTGCAGACAGTAAAGAAATCTAGTTATATAGTCTCCGTCAAATCTCAGTTAGTATAATTTATGTTATTTCTTCTAGTCATACTGCAGTGGCTTAAATTAATGAATTAAAATTCATTCACCATATCTTATTTTCCAGATTTGAATCGAAAGGTGTCGATTTGTCATTACTTAATGAAAAAAAACCACTACCGAATCGAAAGAGGAAAAATTTGAAAGGTCGTTGTTAAATTATACTTTGTTCTGATTGTATCATTCTTTTTGTTGAAAATAATTTAAAAAATAAAGTAAAATTTTAGATAGATTCAGACTTTTTTTCGACGAGTGTTTCAGAATGAATAGTTAATGGTTGCTACTTTTAGAATTCAAATTGGTCGTGAAATAGTGCCTACTTTACGGTTTTATGGTTTTTCCATAAGAATTAAAAGCAAAAGAAGCAAAACCGTATATATTTTGCATGCTTAGGAACAATAGACTTAAGTAAAACTTTTTGAACTTAAGCAATATTTTATGCTCTTTAGTTAAATGTGGATTGATGCCATATAGTTTCACTCGTATTAATATTTATTAATATTATTGTTAGTTACGAACGAGGCAACATTTTTCATCTTCGCAATGTCTTTTAGAATAAATCTAGCAGAATTGTGCTTAATGGTACTATAATTGAACTCACAAATTCTTGGCACTATTTTTCATCTTTCTTTTTATATTTTCATTTTTTACATTCCTATTATACTGCTTACGGGTTACGGGTTCGCCAGACTGTAAACTTTTTTTCGTTGCTTTTATCCTTTATTTTCATTTTTCTTAATTACTTTGAGTTCATGATACAGCATACTGATTGTTATTAAACAGTTTCGAGCAGTTTTTATCACTCCTTAAAGAAAATTTTTTTACTAGTGCTTCTTATGAACTTCGTATTTATTTTGGATATCCGTTTTAAAAACGATGTATCCAAGACGAAAAACATCTCACTTTTTTTATTTACATATGAAAAGAAGAAAATTGAATTTTATAAAATTTAATAAAACTTCACAAAGAAAAAAAATACTAGCGTGAGGTAAATATTGTATAAGAGATCATCCACCAACGTTAAATGTAAAAAAGTCAACAAGGAAAATATTTAATCATAACTGATACGAAATGAAAATGTTTATATACATATATTCCTTATTACAATTTAAAATCATAACTCAATTTCTAATTATCTTTCTAATTAAAATTTGACAATCAAAACATATGCTAAGAAGATTTGTAAGGTTTTTGCTTAAAGCAACAATTTTTTGCTTTAAATGAATTAAACCATAAAACAACAAGAAAAAATAAACTAGAATAAGTAACAAATAAGGAAAAAATGAATGTGCCTAACAAATTATTGATGGAAACCAGAAAATTCATCCTGTAATCGTTTTTGTAATGCTACCGATACTAAATTCCAGGTATCCATAAACCGATCCATGCATCTGGAAAATTCGATTTCATCCAAAATTATTAAAGTTCATATTTATCACAGGAGAAAAAACTAACAATTTCTTGCTTTTCCTGTTCCATCTTTTTTAATACTTTCTCCACATTTAATATATAGTCAAACGATTGATTTTTATTTTTATGACAAGATCCAAAATTATTAAATACGATTCAAGCATCGCGAAGCATTAGAATGGTCAATCTAGGATAAAAAAAATATCACCTCTGAAATTTCAAAGATTAACAAACCTTTGCAAACATTGCTTTTCGGAATTCGTTAATGAACCACCTGGGCTAACTATACATTTTTGGGTACATTTTTGAGAAAGCTCCTGCAAAATAAAAACAAAAATTCGTATATACGTCTAAAAAATATAATTTAATAATTCCAAATTATTTGAACAAACAAACCAAACATTTTATATCAAATACTTCAGAAAGAAAGAAAGAACTGCGTAATTCCAACGATTCAATTCAGTCAAAAATTTTCTTATAGAAAAATAATTATCCATTTTGTTGATTTGCAAGAAAAATCTCACGAAACAAAAATCCTCCTCTACAAATTTTCATAAGGAAAGTTGGAAAGAAATTTTGGAAAAAATGAAGAGCGGCGGAAAAATTCGAAATTATTTAATTATTAAATAAAAACAATGAAAATTGTAAATTTCTACAAATAAAATATTTCGATTCATTCAAATCCTTTACGGAATAGTTTATAGCTCGAAAAAATTGATTTGCTTTTTGTAAGCAAGTGCAAAAGATAAAAAAATAATTAAAGTTGGAACTGAGGCTGAAGCAAATTCAAGCAACAGAATAGTTGGTGAATTGGTGCTCCCGTTTCAAGGCGTTCATATTACCCTAAGGGTAAGAATAAATCTGAATGATGTTGGCAATTCCCTAGTATTTCTCTTGAGTGGTTATTTGAAGTGGGCTCCACAGCAAAATTTGTCTAGTCTAGTCGGATAAAAACCCAGCCAAGTAAACCTAATCGAAAGCATTCTTAATTAAAATATTTACAAACTCCGATAATTGCTTGTGCATTTAAAACGGCGACTTGTTGTTTCAAACCAGAAATGAGTTGATTCTGTTGTTCCGGTGTTAACTTTTTCAACGCTTCTAAATCCACTTGTTCGTCCATATATTCGCCTTCAATTGATTTAAATTAATTAAATGCGAAAAGCGGCTGAAATATAATGAAAGAAAATAAGAAAAATATTATATATTGATAAAGTATTGATAAAATATTGATAAAATATTGATATTTTACGCTTAAAAAAAAACGTGTAAAATGAGTGAGAAAAACGTTAAAATAAATAAATAACACAATCAGTTTCGCCTTTTCCTTACCACTTTTAATTTGACAGCCATAAATGAAATACGCTAGAGTGTCACTTGAAGGTGGATAGTATAGATCCACATTACCACCTGGATTACACCTTTTACGATAGGTTTGTCCTCTCAACACAGAGGAGTTCCAAGGTCCAAAATGCTAATAACCTCAACTGAGGATTCGCCATAAAAACTCAAAGACCAAAACCCCTAACCTATCCCCGATATGAACCTAAAATAGTTTTTTAAAAAGCCTATAGTAAAATTAAAAAATAACGATAGAAAATGTGTCCACCATCGACCGCATTCGCTAGGTTCGACAGCAGTTTCACTTATTGCAATAGTTCATGCCAGGGACAATTTAGCCAATATTTAGCCAATTTTTTAAATATTCGAGGCGGTTCTTCAACGAATAATATCAAATAGGGGTCGCTTGACATTAATAAGCAAAAAATAACTAAAATAAAAACCGGTTGAACCGGTTACACGAACCTGTCACAGGTAATATTTGCCCCAGGCAGGTATCGAACGTGCCATGGGCTCGCGAATATAAACGCTATTTTTCGTCTAATCGTCGATATTTCAAGTTAATTCTATCCCACTGGTCCTTTGGTGACTCCCATCCATCTGTTTTGTCACCTTGTTTCCTTTTATTGCTATCACATGAATTTGCCGATTGCTTTTCCTCAAAATTTTCACCGATGCACCTCGCTGAAAGATGGTCTACAAGTTGAATTTTTCAGATGATGCTGACCAGCGTCCTTCATAACTTAGCTACAAAAATTTTTTTTACTGGTATGAGAAATATGTCAAGTACCAATTTGATTGGAATTAAGACAGTTCTACATTCGACGCTGTGAAACTAGAGAAAAATCTTGTTAGGCATTTTGGGGAAAATTTCTTCCCTTTCTAATGTAGCACGTGAAAGCAGGACGCATCCTATTATTCAAGCCACATTTAAACCAGGGAATGGCTTCTATGCTAAGAAAGACAATCGTATCGTATCGGTGACCTGTCGTCGAGTGACTTCTTTGACTTTGTCGCTGCTTTTGATTCGATTCCACGATGATGTTTCAGAGAAAAATCAGACTTATGGGCCTCAAATGATATAAAAATCAGCTCCGAGATAGCGTCACAGATCCTGAATACGCTGATGATGCGGTCCCTTTCCGCCCACAACTATAAGGATCTACGTGCTAGACCAGGTGTCGAGAGCAACGAAAATCGTCCTTCAAACTATTTGACTATACTTGCCCATGAAGCGATTCCGGATTTTCCATCATATTTCATCATTTCACATCATTAATACAAATATTTGATAATGAAGAGAGTGCCTAACAAAATGAATTTTTATTTCTAACGCAACAAAAGATTGATAAATGCCTGCAGAATATTTGTTGGTGTAGAATCGTGCATTTCTACTGCATAGATTTTTAATAAAATAGAACCGAATGCTGCAATTTATAAAAGCAAATAAGGAAATTCTGGAATTTTGAAAACTGAAAAAAAAAAACTCTCAGAAATATTTTTCAATGCCTTAAAAGAGATTGCCTATCATCATTATTCAAACCGTAATTTATTGCTATTAAATTTTAAAAGATTTGCTAGTTGGTTTCAAAATGAAAAGAAAAGCAAAATGCAAAGTACCATTTTGGTGTAAAATGCAAAAATTAATACTTCGTTTGTCCCCTCATAGAAATATTTTCTACACCATTCCCCTTTTGCCATCGAATTGAAACTTCATTGAATTGGAAAAAAACTAAAATAAATTAAATTCATTGGGACAAAAAAACTAATTTAAAAAAAATTAAATTCATTGGGACAAAAAAATTAATTTAAAAAAAAATTTAGAACTCTAAATTAAATTAAATCATAGAATTAGACTTAAAAATTAGAATTTAAATTAAAAATTAGAAAATTAAATTGAAAATTTAAAAATTAAATTAAATTAAATTAAATTAAAAATTAAAATTAGAACTTAAGCACAATTTGATATTAAAATAGAAAATATTGTGTAAAATTGTAAGCCAAACTAGATTATAGCAAATAGTAAATTTAGGCCCAGTCTGAATTTAAAATATTTAATATATTTAATATATCTTATTAATATATCTAATAGCCTAAAGCTATTGAAATTTATTTGCGGCAAGAGCTAAGTTGAGCAATCATAAGTTCCTCACTATAGTATTAATTACTGGACTACTAGAATTTATATTAAATCTAAATCTGAACTTACCTAGGTAATAACCGTTATCCTATTGCATGGTGTTGTGATTCAAGCGCATAGCCATAGCTGTTTTCTTTAAAAAATGAAAAAAAAAGCAAATATAAAATATAAATATAAAAATGCAAATAATTGCTAAAAATTGCTAAAATGTCACTTTAGTTGAATCTTAATTTATATAAATTGAAAATAAATATATAAATAATAAATATAAATAAAAATAAGAAAAAAAATAAATATGAATTTGAAAATTATTCATTTTAATTATTAAAAATAAAATAAAAATAAAAACTCAATCTTTCAAATATTACAATTTTATTTTATTTTAAATTCTATTTTTATTTTATTTTAAATTTTTAAAATTAAAAATTTTATTTTTTTCTCAACTTAATTTTTTTTGACAATAATTCGTATTTCAATTACTTTTAAATTCTTACTTTTTTACAAAATAAATAAAATCAATAAAAAAATAAATAAAATAAACAAACTTTCTTGTAAAAGTAAATTTTTCCCACAGTTAACTTTCACTTTTACAAGAATTATTTGACTAATATTTTTCTAATAAAAAACTGCAAAGCCGTTCGTATTGCTTAGTATTAAACAAAATTAACTACCTATGACATGGAAAGAGTGTTATGATGAAATGCAAAGGTTGGCAACTTTCAATTTCAATTATTTTTCATTATTTTCAGCTATGTTCAAATAGATTAGATGATAAGCACCGATGATAAACACCGCTTGGCTTGAGTGGTATATAGAACGGCTCAGTACCACAGATAGCACCACAGATCTCATGATGTGGTCCTTTTTGCTGGCAGCTAAGAGGATTTACAACAGATGCTAGACCACGTGTCCACAATAGCGAAAATTGGCCCTCAAATCAATACATATCAGATGCGGGCAAGGTTACATTCAAATAAATTCACGGATTATTCAAGAAGACATTTGCTGGCCTGGCTATGTTTTTCGTCTATGCTTGCTAATTCTGCGATGGATGGCTTCAAAAGCGGGAAGGACCAACTAACCGACCAATCAAGAAGGATCACTGATACGGAGAACACATAGGCGGCACAGCGACATATAGGGGAAAATAGTGGAAAAAGGACTAGCTTCATTTGTTTAGAGGAATGATACCCGATCGGGAGACCAATAAATAAGCAATAAGGTGGAGTGGGGAAATCGAGCATCAGCGTTCCCAAAATGAAGTCAATAACCCACTGAGCCATATCGCCATATTGCACTGATTGAAACCATTAATTTCATTTATTTAAAATGATTATTAATTTTTTTAAATTTTTATTTAAAATTTGGCGTCCTTCATAAAATTCAGTTTTTTTCATTCATTATTTATTTTTATTTATTCCATTTCATCATTTATTCCATTTTTTTATTATTTTATCACTATTATTTTCATTATATTTTTAAAATATGATCAAAATATTATTTCAATTAATTCTCATATTGAAACATTAACATTTTTATATCAGAATTTATATCAGAAATTTCTATATCAGACTTTTTATCATATTTATCCTTATTATATTTATCATATTTTTATCATATAAAATTTTTACTTCAAAATCGTTTGTATTTGTTTATGCTTATTTATGAAAAATTTTTAATTAAGAGTTCATGAATTTTTTGGATTTTTTTTTGAAAGTCCATACAAATTGCTATTTTATAAATTGAATGAGCAAAAGATAATGCGCGCTTTTACAGAAAAATTTTTCTTATCTTTTATATTTCTGATATTTTTATAAATAAATATTATATTTTTATATTATATATATATTATATTATATTATATATATATTATATTATTTTATATATATATTATATTATATTATATTATAGTATAATTACTCTCAGAATTTTCGAGAAATTCACGGAATTTAATGATAATTTAATGGTAATTTTAATTTAGATGAAATAATAAGAGAATAAATTAATATGAAAATTATTTATTTATTTATCATATTTATCATATTTTTATCATATAAAATTTTTTCTCCAAAATCATTTGTTATTTGTATTTGTGATTTGTATTACTCATGAAATTTAATGATAATTTAGTGGTAAGTTTAAGGTATTTCAGATGGAATGATAAGGGAATGAATTAAAGTGAAAATTAAAAAATAGCTGAAAGATAAAAAGCTGGCAGTACAAAGTAATTTTATCATTCAATAATAAATTATATTGAAACAGAGAAAATATCTGCAAGCAAAAACTATCACTGCAATAATTTATAACCGTAATGGCGATAGATGAATTTTATGGTTATTCAGCTGAAGCAAACGACGGAGAGGAGAGGGATAAGAGAGGGAGCAATTAAGATGGATGTACATATTTGAATTATTTCCACGGTTTAGACTTAGGGGCTTAGGCTTAGGCTTAATGAAATAAAAAAATTAGCCTAATTTCTTCAGAGCAGTTTTTCTGAAAATGAATGAAAATGCTTCAATAATTTGTGGAAAAATAAAAAAAATGGTATTTTTTATTTTAAAAATAATTTAAAAAATTATTCGCATTATTTTTTAGTTAAAAACTACATAGCGAGGAGGAATCATTCCATTAAGGCATTTATA